CACCTTTGCACCTAGGGTTAGGGGCCGTCCAAGTATTACGTAAGAAATATGGGGGCGGGGGGTCTTTGCTTATTTTTTATGACATGGGGGGGTCTGGATGGTGATTACGTCAGCAGTAGTTATTTACTTTTTACACATATGGCAACCCACACATTGTCTATGCTTGAAAACGAAAAGAAAAATGCACATACCAATGTTTACGTAAGAGAGAGGGGGGGTAAGAGCTTTGATTACTTTTGCTGACAAGGGGGAAGGGGGGTAAATAATTGTAGTAAATCTGCTTACGTAATACTTGAACGTCCCATTACCAGAAATTAAAATATCTTAAATAGGAGAATTAACTTAAAAATATAGAAGTTTAAAAAATATATAGAGGAGACTAAATACAATATTGCATTAGTTGTTTATAATTACTTCTTTAATAAAAGTAAACACATTTAGAAATATTAAAATTTACACTTTGTCACAAACGGTAAACATATTGTGTAACGTACTTGTTGGACGGTCCTTATTATTAGGTAAACAAAAATTAATACCTTCAAAACTTTAACTAGATAGTGTAAGGCCGTTTTAATACACAGCTTTAGATACAATAGTGAATAATAGTTAGATAATCGAAAAATATTACACAAATATATTTTAAAGAACCCTTTTGGTACCTATTTTGAACAAGTTATATTACAGTTTCAGGACATTTTTTGGGAATTTTTTTACAGTATTTGGTCATTTAAAACGGGTCTGATATAGTTTTAGTACATTAAAGGATTCCAACAATTTCAGGATGATTTAAAAGCATTTCTAGGCAGCCTAAATGTTTTAAGCCATTTTAGATAATCTAACACTCTTAGTATATTATATTAAAGTACATTTATAAAATAGTTCAGTTTAAATACAAAATTATTAACTTAACAATGTTGGCTTTTAATATGTATGTAAATTTCGAAATTTTATTTAAAAATACAAAAGTTTCCCGCATTATAAACTTTAAATACTTTGAACAAGTTGGGGTCCAATTTGGTGTTCTAACAGGTGTGACATCTCAATTTTCGTTTTATAGTTGTCTTATTACTTTGAAAGTGTATCATAATTTTGTAATTTCTATTCATTTTCCGCTACATTTACATAGATATTATTCCCCGTTCCAAAATTTTTCCACTGCCTCAACGTCTTGGCCATTTAAACTTCCTATAGACGTTCTTATGTATGTAAATTGTAAAAAGTGCTAGCAACCTATAAAAATGTAAATTGAACCTTAAATTAAGTCGTTTGGTCAAATTAAAGTCACCTTAATAATTTTATGTTAATTTTTTATGGACCAATTTGTCCGTACCTTATTTTACTTTTTTGTAATATGCTAATACATACCTACTAGTTTAGTTGTGTATGTATCGTTTAAAATTATAATTATTTTATAAATAATTTTACAAAATTACCAAACTAAATAAAATATTTTTCAGATTTAATATGAACGACTTTTAAATAAGGTTTTAACAAATTGAAATGAATATATTTAATTTAAAAAACCTCTTCTGATCTTTAAAACTTAAAAAATCGGGTATGAATTCGCGTAACGCATAAAAGATTACGGGATTACCCATGTAAAAGACCAAGTGCACTATTTGTACCAAATAAACATTAAAAACTAATGACTCATTTTTTATAAAAAATATTAAGTACTGATGATGTCACCGCTAAAGACCACATTAAACAATGGGTTTAATTGAGTCAGTTAGCAACAAAGGTGCACTGTTTGGTGTGGTCTTATGATAATGTGTCTAATGATACTTCCCAGGCAATCATTGACTGATTGGGAACTCGATTGAACAAAAAAATTATATTGCGAAATTGAACAGTGGATTTGCCACCAAGATCGTGTGATTTAACGCCACTTGATTAATTCTTGTGGGACTATAACAAAATTTGGTTTATGCCGATATATCACAAACCATTCAGGATCACAAGCCAATATTTAAAGCGTTATTGGTGATATAGAGCCCCAAATCGTTAAAAACGACCGATGAGGCGATATGCCTGAAAAACATGACACAGACCATTCTCCATAATGAATAAATATAATCTAATATTTTTTATTTAAACTAAATTCTTGTCGTTTATATTTTGAAAATAAGTTATAGCTTTTTTAAAGACCATTTAAAAGATAAAAATAATAGTAGGTATCTATAATTATAGATACCTACTATTATTTTTATCTTTTAAATGGTCTTTAAAAATTATAATTGACGGGTAGGCCGTAACAACGTTGTAAGTAACATTTTGTTACAGGCGGTTTTTACAATAATGAGCTCTACGCCTTTATATTTCGTATTATATGTTCTTTTTTAATAGAAATCAATATTCTTATAGCAAATCTAGTAAACTTTCCAACTATGACATTTTATTATCACCTTAATGAGTTCCTATCTGTTTTTGCGATTTATTTCGTTTTATTTTGTTTACTTCTTTTGTTATATACAACGTTGTTACGGCCTACCCGTCAATTACACTGTAGGGAGGTGAAAATATCACAGCTAAACGCTCGGACACGTAAACTTAATTTTTGGTCGTAGATTACAAATCCGTGCTTGGTTTAGCTGTATCAGGTCAAAATTAAAAGATATGGAAACACCCTGTATAAATTTAAACACCCTGTATACATTTTTTTAAATTAAATTTGGCGGGACCCACGCATCAGTTCCAAATTAAAAAAATAACAAATAATTAATTGATCAAAGGATACACGTGTCCCTATAGGGTTTTTCTTAGATAATTTAGGAGATTTGAAATGTTTTTTTGCTGATTTTTTTTTTATTGAGTATAATTGAGAATATTATATTAAATGAAATAAAAAGCATAAAACTGTTGGCACAAGAGGTGAATTATATTATTTTACAAATTATTATATACCAGTATACAGTGTTTCCCCGGATTGGATTTCCAAGAGGATAAACTTTTTTAGACCAGATACAGCTAAACCGAGCACGGATTTGGAATCTACGACCAAAAATTATGTTTACGTGTCCGAGGGTTTAGCTGTGATTTTTCAAAAGTTAAAAATTTACCTACAGTGTTATTGAGGGGAAGTTTCGCATAATGTTCCGAGTGTCTGGTTGACCCGACTCGGGTCACCCGAGTCACGATCAAGTGTGAGAAATAATCTATCAGCAGACAATATTTCAGTCAGTATGGTAAGGTCCCACAGCTCTAATAAAGATCGACATCTACGATCCTTCTGAATTATGTTCGCTTCGAGATTTTACACAAAACTTTCACGTTGCATCATTATTATCAGTTAAAACGTTTTAATAATTCTTTCTGAATAACATTTGAATTTTCTTGTTGAATTTCCAACTCGTTTTAAAACTTTCGTTTATGCTGAAATCGATAGGGACAAACTATTTTTGCCTTCAAGGTTCGGTTCATTAGTTTTTTTTAAATTGGTTTGATGTTTATGAATATTGATTTTGGAAATTATAAGATCCTAAAGCACTTTATAAACAATTTTACCCGTCTATTAAGATTTGCATTGGTTTTTCCCAAGTCTGTAAAATAAATTAATTATGAAATAAATAAAAGAAAAGTATTGGAAAGTATTGAATGGAAATTATTAATATAACAAATATACAAAATGTTAAGTGAAAGAGTAGAAAGTATTAGCTGAACTTTAAACATCTATATATTAATGCCTAGACAAGCTATTTGGTTAGCTTATTGGAAAATATATAAATGTATTAAATAAATAAATATGTATTAAATAATAAGAAGAGTTATTCCTTTTAAAAGTTGATAGCCCATGTGTGAGAATAAGATAATTAAAACGGGGGGAGCCTTTTCTGCTTTGTGTACCTACTTCTTTATCCACTCTAACTCTCACGCACTGATGGTGGCGCTTTATGCTTTTTTCTTTCTTTTTTCTTTGATCACCTTCCTTAAAATCTTTATTGTCGTTGCTTACACAACAGTTTCGTCCGTAGCTAGGTGAAAATACATTTTTAGGTAATGCATTAAAAGCAAAGTAAACAATCTCTAGTTTTAACGTAACGGTATTAACTATGCACAACTTTTGGTATTTTGGTAAAAAAGTTATTCCAAAATATATTAATTATAATTAAGATGGAATATAAATAATTTTAAATATACAGGATAATCTATAACTAGTGTAACAAACTTAGAGAGTAGATAGAATACGTAAAAATAAGGCGAAAAGTCCTAATCAACGTATGTCCAAAAATGCCAGCTAAGCGAGATACATCGTGTTGAATTTGTACGCAGCTGGCTAAATAATTTTTTATTTTTTAGTAAAGTACTCTTAATACATTTCTCTAGTGTCTATTTGAAATAGACTATTTCTCGAGATATTAAATTTCGAAAAAGCTTTGAAAATAAAACAATACGTCTGAATGTTTGTATTTTGTTTTTGAATTTGGATAGTCATCCCAAGGTTTATAAAGAAATCCTTACGCAGATAGTTTAGAATAGTTCATGTACGTATCCTATTATATCCCTGCTAAAGGGTCTTTTGATTTCTAACCTAAACGTTCCCATGGCCACCAGTATAGTGAGGAGTCATCTTGTAGTATGACTCACCTTACAAATTATAATCTAACTCTAATCCCCTTGCACAGTGGAATAAAAAGAAGTAGTTCTTTTTAAATGATATTCGGCAGATGTTAATGTAAAAAATTAATAAACCCAGTTTGGCAGATATTTAAAAAACACACATCAAGCATGAAACAGTTTTAACATGTGGACTGTAAATACCGTGTTTCCCAGGCACTTATTTTGCATAACGGTAGCATTTTTTGCCGGAAGGCATCAATATTTAGAAAATTCCTTGCGCTCCGCTCGCCTGAGAGTTTATTTAATCTTTATGCCTGTCGCGCCATTCGAACTCATTTCCACCTGAACGATTTACATTAGCCTACCCATGTCGATGCGGATTGCTAAAATACACCGAACACTTGCTTTGAAATTTAATTCATCTTGAACATTTTTTATTTCAGAACCGAACTTCGTTGGATCCTTTGACATTGGTGATTACGTGCTGTTTTTCTTTCGCGAAACTGCCGTCGAATATATAAATTGCGGCAAAAATGTTTACTCCAGAGTCGCGAGGGTTTGCAAAAGAGACACCGGCGGGAAGAACATACTTTCTCAGAACTGGGCTACGTACCTTAAGGCGAGACTTAACTGTTCCATTCCTGGAGAATTTCCCTTCTATTTTAACGAGATCCGTAAGTACACACCATTTAAGTTCTTTATTTACAATTCGTTAAACGTTTTTTAAGCGTGATATAATAGATTTGTCTTTCCTTTCGAATCTTGGATCAACATATTAGTTTGCGTCACATATAAAATATAGAGAATTGAAAATCTCATATGTTTTAACCTAACATAATTTATCTTTACAGAAAGCGTTTATATGGTGCCAGGCGATAAAACCAAGTTTTACGGAACATTCATCACCTCCACAAACGGCCTAATGGGTTCAGCTATTTGCTCCTTCACCATCGCCGACATCCAGGCCGCCTTTGCAGGTAGATTCAAGGAACAAGCTTCTTCATCATCCGCGTGGCTTCCAGTTATGACCAGCAGAGTCCCTGAACCACGTCCAGGAACTTGCGTTAACGATACCGAAACTCTTCCCGATACCGTTCTTAATTTTATCCGTTCTCATCCACTTATGGATAGCGCTGTCACACATAAGAACGAAAGGCCAGTCTACTACAAGAGAGACATCTATTTTACCAAGTTGGTGGTCGATATGGTATCCGTTGACATTGGTGGTTTGGTTTTGGACTACACTGTTTACTATGCTGGAACTGGTAAGTCTTATTTTAAATTCAGTTTCACAAAATCCAATTTCATTGTATGTGATTTTACCTATTATTATTTTTTGTAGATGAAGGACGTGTCCACAAGATCGTAGAATGGGAATCAGAAGAAGAGGAAGACGAAGATGATGATGATGAGTACAGGGTTAAACCTGCAACCTCCATCCTTTTGGACATTTTTGATGTAACGCCAGGCGAGCCTATTCAAATTATGGACATTTCCAAGGAACACAAGGCTTTATATGTAGGGTCTGACTACAGGGTTAAACAGGTCGATTTGGTTATGTGCAACCGAAGATATGACAGCTGCTTGAGATGCGTTCATGATCCGTATTGTGGTTGGGATAAAGATGCCAATGTTTGCAAACCATACTCACCAGGGTAAGAATTCTTTTACACATGTTTATTTAGATTAAAACAGTTTTTAAACCTAAAATATTGTGTACCCTAATTAATGAAGAAATTGTATATTGTTCAAAGATTGAGAAAGTTGGCGATTTCCATGAGGATGAAATGGCCATTTCTAAAGAGTTAAACACTACATTTTTCTAATTTTATTACGATAACCAGATTCGATGACAAATGTCGCTGAGCGTGACATCGGACTCACGTACGTCTTAGATTCGATTGACCTAGCAGTTTCTTGGATTACATACATAAAAGAAAAGAAACATACGTAATGTCTGCGCTTGGTTCAGAAATTGGTGACGCAATGTCAAACATTCGTCGCTTAGACTGTAGTCACTATACTAGCGTGGAGAAAATTAAAATCTTGTCATTGTACAGTAACCGTGGAGAAATATCACCTTTTTTCACAGTTTAAGACTGAGCCACTTTCTTAATAGGAAATGAACCAATTCTTTAATATGATTAGAAAAATAAATGTTTATCATCAGTGGTTCAGAAATTCCTGGTTTTTATCATTTTTTTACTTGTTTAAACAATCATTTACTGTCAAAGATATTGTAATATTATTTGGACATTTATAACATTAACTTATTAATAGAGCGGATGATTTCAAAAAATTATAATATATTTTTTCTTTCAGACTTCTCCAAGATGTTTCAAATAGTACAATCGACGTGTGCGACAGCAGTGTGATCAAGAAGAAGATGATGGTCACCTGGGGCCAAAGTCTCCACTTGGGATGCTTTCAAAAAATGCCTGCCGTATTGTCCTCTCAAACTGTGACCTGGTACCACTACTCGAAAGAAAAGGGCCGTTACAAGATCCAATTTAGAGCGGATAAATACATCGAAACCTCCGAACACGGTTTGGTTATTATCGCCGTTACTGAAGCTGATGAGGGAAGGTACGATTGCTGGATGGGGGCTTCTTTGCTTTGCTCTTTCAATGTTACCGTCGACGCTCACAGATGCTCTCCACCTGCCAAATCCAACGATTATCAGAAAATCTACTCCGACTGGTGCCACGAGTTCGAGAAATACAAATCCGCCATGAAAACTTGGGAAAAGAAACAAGCTGTAAGTACTTGATATCAATAATATTGATTCAATATTATTTCCATTCCAAAAATGTCTGGCTTTACTGTATATTCCAGTAAAATATAACATAAAAAATGGGAAAAGGATAGACGATAACATTTTAAATATATTTATAAATATAAACGAATAAAATTGACAAATACCAGAAGGATAAGAATTACTATTTTTCCGGTTCATAAAATTTTAAAAACAATTATTGGTTTTTGTGGTACTCAATGATACTAAACAATTTCTAAAATATTTTTGAAAAATGGAAAATTAGAGAAGTTATTAAAAAATAGTGATTTGGCGATTTTTTTAGAAAATATTCATTCCATATGGAAATATAGCATTTTGGTGAAATTGTTTAAAATGATCAAATTTTTATTAAGATTGCAATTAAAAGAAATTATTTTTTTTTAATATTGTTGAAAATAAAGAATTCGGTTTTAAATAATTTTCTCAATATTTTTCTACTTCTGATCAAAAAACGAACGGAATAATTTATGTTTATATATTATAATTATCAATGGACACAAAAATTATATTGACGGGTATTTTAAATCGTTCGTGCCTAGTTGAATCAATTTTTTAACAATTTAGTAATGATTTCATAACAGCAAAAATAAACAAAAACTGTCCAAAAATGATTTTTACCAAAATATTCAGAAAAATCAAAGTTTAAAATTAACCATGAACAATAAAAATGATGTGTCGACATGGATCCCTAATTCTGAGTGTTTGAAATCAAGCAAAAAATGTTATCAAGAATGAAATTTTCTGAGATGTAAAATATTTTTTTCTCTTCGTAACTATGGACACAGTTTTAATATTTAGCAAAAAAATATTTGATTTGGTTTTCGAAAAATGGAGCACCAACGGTATATAACTCACTTTCAAACTTAAGCTTAACATTTTTGTGGTTTTAACAATCATAAACATTGAATATTGTATACCCAAATTTGAGTTGCTCTTTCATAGTAACTATGTTATAATATAACATTGGGGTTAGTTTCAAAAATAAAAATTAAAAACTGGGTGTGCAAAGTTGCGGGTAACTTTGTCCCACAGTGTATTTTCCGTATAGAATTAACTGAATATTTTATTTTATTTTTATAAGACACATGTTAGCAGCATATAGCGATTGCAAGGGATCACCGATAAAAAAAAATCGACCTGTAGTTAACCAAGGATCATCATTCCAAAGGATTGTGCATAATATAGAAATTGTAACGCGTGTATTTGCACTGATGCAATATATACACTGAGAAAAAAGTTTATTGCTCCCAAATAAAAAAAAAAATTAAATATGGGACAAGGGTACAGTTTATTTATCCTAAATTTATTTTTATTCCCGACACAAAAAGTTTTACTAAAGTATATTTATCGTTATTATTTCGACTATTTAGAGGTAATAAACAATATATTCACTATTAATAAAAGTATTAGCTACACAGTTTATTTGTCCCATTTTTTTCTCAGTGAACAATTTTAAAGTGTAATAAATCCCATTTATTTTTTTAAAACACTGATTTTCCTGTAATATAAACTTAAAAGAATCGCTCAATTGATAGGTTTAGACCAACAAATTATAAATGTTAATTTTATCGAGCGCGAAAAGATTTTTCATAAAAGGGTTAAAGTCACCCGCGGGGTGCAAAGCCACCCGTGTTTACGGTATCCAATATATTACAAAACATTTTTCCGACAAATAGTTTTAGTTAAAAGCAAAGATAATATTATCTTTGGTTATAAGGGTTTAAAAAATGAATTTTATTTTCTTTATTTAAATTTTTCAGAATATTTATTTATTTAAAAGGATTAAACACAATTTTCTAATTACGTTTCAAAAATAAAAAGTTAAAATTTGTGCATGCATTTGTTTATGTATCAAGATCACACAAACAAATATGAATCCAAATTTTTTTATTTGGAAGACTGGCGAAAACATAAAGTAAAACGATTTTCAAGAAAAACATTGAGAACATTATTAAAATTTCAATAATTATTGTTTATTATAAAAAATTTAATTTGTTACGAAAAAACAATTTTTTTTAATTGTAATATTTTTGTATAGAATTTTATTTATGGTGGGGCTTTATTTCCATGATGTAAAATTTTGAAAAAAAATCTGTCAGAAACACTTTTTATATTTTTTAAAAATATGTTATTATTATTAAGTACTACAAAAACCAATTCTTGTTTTCTGTATTCCATGAAGTCGGGAAAAAAGTGATCCGTTTCAAGAATACTCACTCATATATGGTTTTATAAAAGTACCTAGGTACTTATAAAATAGTGTCAAGTACTTGACGTATTTCTAACCAAATTTTGTTGATTTTTTTAGCAATGTGCTAGACAAAACAGCAGCAACCAGAATAGCCACCCAAACGAGATATTTAGACCCTTAGTCTGAAGACTAGTTGAGCATGGTTCTCTATCCCTGACTTACCTAGGAATACCTTTGCATTGGATCCGTGTATTATTTCTTTAAGAATATTTTAAAAAGTATTTATATAATAATAGCTATCAGATATACCCCCCATATACATGTAATAGTTAAATATAATGTAAAAATATAAGAATTTCCCATGTTAAATAAAATTGATGTACTTACACAATGTGATGGATATTTGGAAAAGGTTGGAACCGTGCTAAAAACGTGCTTTTTGATATTAATAATTTAATATGACTGAAATTAAAGCTATAGTTTAAATTAATAAACGATTTGTTTTGCATTTTAATTTGTTCAATTTTATGTTCACGTAAAATCTAGTAGATTTTACGCCTATTGAGTTTTTAAGAGCGTTTACATATATTGTAGGTCTGTGATATAATTGTATTGTAATTTATTAAAAAAATAACTTGTTTTTAATTATCGTAATTTGGAGTGAATGCATGCAAAACAATCAGCTTTATTAAAAACTGATACATTCGGACCAAAGTGAATGAACTTATTAAGAACATGTTAGATTTAATAAAACATAATTGTAAAATTAGTGCGTATTTAAAGCAATACTCTTTTCGCTTGCAATGTGTTGGTCCCTTGAAATAATATATAATGTAAATACTTTGCAAAATTGCTGCTTTATTTTTTAATTGATGCGTCAACCCGATGAATTTAAATAACATTTATTAATAAATAAATAAAACGTCCTATACCAATTTAAGCATAACTTATTCGACAGGCTTTTTTATGCTAAGCTAAGTAATGTCTATTACGTACATTTAAGGACAATCAACAGACATATATGTTTGGTTTGTATAATATATTATTTCAATTGTGATTCATTGTATAAATTTTCCAACACAACATTGTTAATATTTCAAAGTTCTTCTAGTATTATCTATTTGTTTAATATAAACTTGTAGTCCTGTAAATACCTATGTATAGTTATTTAACATCTACATATGTAATTGATACTGATATTACAATGAGGCGTTTCCTATAGCTATACTTTTCCTTTAATGTAATTAGTATTCATAAGATGTTTTTTGGTTTATATGAATTTTTAATAGCATTTTTTAATTGTAATAAAATACCTACATATCTTTTAACGACGAAACATTGTCTTTGCTTTTACCTATTTTGCAATAAACTAAACAATAATTTTTTATTTGGTATTTAAAAGTTTGTTTTGGTTTTGTTAAAAAATTATTGATTTTAAAATTAAAAATATTTTTGAAAAAATTGTAGATATTCTTGTTACGAATTTAAAATAAAACGACGTAGAAACTTTTTTAAAACTAGTTAAGTTAACTTCTATGAAGTTTTTACTGAATAATACTTAAGATTTTTATTTTAGACTTAGGCATTTTAGATTCTTAGACATTTTTATATTTTACTCTTAATTTTGTAAAACATTATTCTCCTAGGGTATAAAGATTATCTATTTATGAATTATACTAAAAAATAAACATTTTAAAAATGAAAAATTTATTTTTTGATGAAATCTTATATTCTAGGATAGTTTGTATTGAACATTTGTACTTATTTGCTTTTCCGTCTATTTAGATATTAATGTTTTAATTTTTAATGTTAATATATTATAACTACATATAAAAATTAGTTATGCTATAGCAAAAAGACATCCCGAATGTATATTGTACCTATTTAATGGAAATGTCGCTGTTGCCCTATAATTATATTATCAATAAAGACTATGTAAGGTACATTTTTGTTTATTTTTAGAACCTTAACTTAGTCAAAATGAAGTTTTATTTCGAAAAAAATCCCAGTAAAAATATTTATTCGAAATTTTGTTTACTTGTGCAATAGAAACAATTGATTATTGTCACAGAGGTCCTATGTAAAATCGTGCTGGCGTTGCTTATTATATATAATGAATCCATCTTGCCTCCCCAGATAGCCAAATAGGGCAAAAATTAAGATATATATGCAATTGTTTTAATCTGCACGTAGTTACGTACACATAATACAGTTTTTATTGGGAAATCAAATAGTTTTAAGTAAGTTGAAAAAGGAATATTAAGCCAAAATTAACTTTATGTTAATATTATAGAAATATATAATATATATTTATATGATTGAGATTTCTCAAGAAACTTCTCTCGTGGGCTGGGACCGATCGGCAAATAGTTATTCTTCTTTATACATATACTTAAACATGAAATACTCAGACCTACACTGAAAAAATTATCTTATAGTCAGTGGCGGCCTGTCAGGGGAGGCAGTGCCTCATCATAGAGTCTTAAAAAATTAAGTACTTATAATTTAAATATTTTACTTTCTATAATTAAAATTTACAGTATATAATATACTGTAATATACTGTATATTAATAAACTGTAAATTTTTAATATTTGGATTACATGAATTGTGAAATAGTCAATAAAATTGATTGATTTTATACGTGGAATTATTTGAATTTGAAACAACCGCAATTTAAACTAATATTTATAGCTAGATGATTGGCTCAGAAGCATGCCTGAATTAATTTGGACTCACGATTGGCGTTAGCCTTGTTGTCTCGTTCTATT